ATATTGGCTATGTAATAGTATACATGTGATTATATGTTATGAAAATGGAAAATAAAAAAAGTATATTTCAGAAAGAAATCCATATGCAGTCTTATGTTTCATACACTCTTCGGTGGTCTTTGTGTTTCCCCAAGGCCAGACCGCTGGAACGAAGTTTCTCCACGCACCTGGGCTGGCAATAATTTTGAGAGGCAGGGACCAACGGAGAAACGAGTAGAGGTAGACCGGGTAAGAGCCTGCTCATTTTCCCCCCCCTCCCCTTTCTAGTTTTTCCTCCCTCTCTTGCTCCCTTCACCATATTTTCTCTTTTTCCATTGATAGGAGGTTGCCAGGAATATGGATTCTGTGTTCAAAGAACTTCTTGGGAAAACCACTCTGAAGCACACGGGGATTTGTGACCCTCCCCATCATTCTGAACCCCCAAAGAGCAACCCTTTGGCTAAGAAGGGTATCGCCCCTGCCAAGCCAGCCTCTTCCAACAGGGCGCTTCTGCGGGGCAAAGGGGTCTTCAAGTCTTTGGGAAATGGAGAGTGAGTCAAACTCAACGTGGGGGAAAAGCACCCCCCCCCAGTGTGACTTGCCCAATACTGTGGCTACCCTCCTCCTCCTCCTCCTCTTCCTTCCTGTTCCGGATACCAACTCAGGGCAGTTGTGTCTTGCTCTCTCCTGGTGGGGGTGTGGGTGGGAAAAGGGGGGTGATGTAAGATTATCAGCGTTTGTGTTCCGACCTCCAAGCCAAATGTTGAAGATGCATTTGCTGTTGGACGTCTTCCTGCACTGGAGGTGCATCTGAAGGATTTCATGTTGTGGATGTGACTGGGACTAAAACATACAGCTCCCATCAGGATGATCCTGGGACCCAACACCCAGGCCAGCTGTTCCTTTGTCACAAAGAGTTTGCACTTGGATCTTCGTGTGGAAGGGATGCATGGGGGGAGGGGATGTGCCAAGATTCCTGGACTCTTGTTCTTGGCCTCGGCAAGGGAATCATGTCTAGTGAGTTATGGTGCCAGAGGTTGAAAGGACGGGCATTGTTTTGTACATGTGTGTTATTCTCTTCCTGACGTGCTTCACACTAGCCCTCACCTCCTCTCCTTCCTTCCTCGACTCTCAACCCCCGGCAGTGTATCTCTTGTTGCTTTAAACATTCGTCTGAATTTAAAACTTTCCACACACGCTACTTGGTCCAGCCTCATGCAACCCTGCACGCATCACCCTCCTACATTGGGGCAATAGGTAAGGGGACATATTTGTGGTGGGGACCCATGTGCCAATTTCCCCCTCATCATCCAAGGTCCAGTTTGTCTGCCCCCCCCACCCCCACCTTCTACTTCATCATCATATTTTTGTCTTTACTGCTCAGTATTAATCAGGGCTGCATGTACTCTGTGCTTTCAAATGCTGTGTAAAGTCAAGCTGAATTCTGCAACCTGTGTAGAGTGCAACTTCAACTCGTAGAGATTCTCTTCCATAATTTATGTTGCCAATCTGACAACTGGAAATCTGACTTAATGGGCACCCTCGTGGTTCCAAGCTTTCAGCAGGAAATTAAAACCACACTTTTCAGCATCACTTTATAGACATAAGGGCTAGAAACCTGCTCTTTTATATATATAAAAGTTTTATATATATATAATTTTTTTTCACATTCTCAGGAAGCAGAATTCTGTGCCCAATGCCGCATCCTGTGAGTTTCTCGCGAATTACAGCATATGTACAGCCCTGGTATTTAGCTTGTCATTAACAAAAAAAAATATGACTGTACTGTGATCTTTCTATACAGCCTGTTGGTTTCTGTTTCTTGCAATAAACTGGATTTATAAACTCTCCACAGAAAGCGCCTGCCAGTCAGGATTTTATAAAGAATAAACAAGACACTGAAGGATTTGCTTGGGTTTTATTGTCATAAAATGCAAAATATCTTTTATAATTTTAGAAAATTTTCCGTTTTCGTTTCGAAGTAGCAGTTGGCATTAAGGTTTAAGAAAGAGCAGCACTGGTTGAGCAAATGTTGTGCCCACAAACTGATTTCAAAGAAAGCTACCATAGCGATGACATGAAATGTGTTGGCAGAAAACCGTAATGTAGTGTGAGTTTCAAGAGAGAGAGACTGAGGTGTAAGGCTTTAGTGCTGTACTCAAAGCATCTCTGAAATGCCTTCCTAGGACAATGTTATCATCTTGTTCCAATTTAAGGCAGTATTTGAATTTTGTATCCCAGATAGGATAGCTCTAATCCAGAGGTGGGTTCCTACCAGTTCGCACCTATTCGGTAGAACCGGTTCGTCAAATCTACCGAACCGGTTAGAAGAGGTTCCACCAGTGGACCTGGAAAGCAGGCCACACCTACAGAAGAGGTTCCAAAAATTTTTGAAACCCACCACTGGTGGGTGTGTAATGTCCCACAGTTATCTACACATTAATAATGATCTAGTAATATTTCCTTATACATTTTAGGGACCTTTCCTTACATAATTGGTGTTTTCTTTCATACTTTTGGATTTCTAATTTCTGTTTCCATTAGTTGGCAATTGCTAAAACCAACCCCATGGGAAAAAGTATTCAAAGCCTTCTTGATTTTAATTGTCAATTTATTTATTCCTGCACATTGTAATATTTATTCATTTACATATCTCTGTTTTTCCACTGTTGTGCAAACACAATTCCAGCAGCTGCTAACATGTGTAAAATTAAATATATGTTATAATCCCTTTCAAATAGCCAACAAAATATTTCTGGTTTTAATTCCATATCTTGCTTTACAATTGCTTCTAACCACTAACTTCTGAATACCTACTTGGATCGACCAAAGTACTAATTCATAATTTCATATCCGGTCACACTCCCACAAAGGAGGCCACACCCACAGAGTAGGTTCCAACAATTTTTGAAACCCACCACTGCTCTAATCCCATCGGTTGCCTCAATGTACTGTGGAATGGGCAACTCAAAACATCCTGCAGCCAGGCTGCTGGGAGATTCTGGACACACTGTAATTGTGGCACATTTAGAATGTGCCAGAATGTGGAGGCTATGATGCTGAAACGACCCACAGGTCATGGCATGGCAGGTTGGCTGCGGTAAGTTGGCTGTGGCAAATTGTCCTATTCTGCTGCTAGAAAGCCTTGCTATACAAAACTTTTACAGCAGTCCTCTTGCACAGTTATTTATTTCCACAAGTGGACGTGTATAGAAGAACTTGCCACTATGTTGTGATACGTGTTTGTGTGTGTGTATGTGAGAGAGGGAAGGAAGGGAGGGAGAGAGAGAGAGAGAGATGGATGGGGAGGGGAATTTAGAGCAGTGTTTCTCAATCTTGCAACTTTAAGCCGAGATGGCGCAGTGGTTAAATGCAGCACTGCAGGCTACTTCAGCTGACTGCAGTTCTGCAGTTCGGCTGTTCAAATCTCACTGGCTCAGGGTTGACTCAGCCTTCCATCCTTCCGAGGTGGGTAAAATGAGGACCCGGATTGTTGTTGGGGGCAATATGCTGACTCTGTAAACCGCTTAGAGAGGGCTGAAAGCCCTATGAAGCGGTATATAAGTCTAACTGCTATTGCTATTGCTAAGATGTGTGGACTTCTTGAAGTTGGAGTATGGCTGGCTGGCTGGGGAATTCTGGGAACTGAAGTCCAGACATCTTAAAGCTGCCATGGTTGAGGAACACTGATTTTGAGTACAGGGTTTTTTGTTTGTTTGTTTGTTTTTCCCACCTTAATCAAAAAGAGGTGGATTAATTTCTTGGGGGCAAGGAATTCAAGGGGAAGATCCATCAGCCAGATTGTTTCCGCCCATCAGTCAACCGACTCAGGATTCCAGCTGAGCTACTGTCCCATCTGAGTGGGTCAAGGGGAGGAAAAACGAAGCCAGAATCCTGTTCCTGAGCCAAAGGAGAGGCCTCAGTCCTTTGCATGTTCCTTGCGCAGGGCCACTCGGACGTCGCTGCAAACTTTCCCTACTGCTTCAAAGAGAGGGTCGCAGAAGGTACGTATGCACAAGGCATAGCAGCGCCCGCAGCACTGCACCTCTATGAAGTAGCTCTTGATGCAAGGCATAGCCCCCCAGATGTGGCAGAAAGACACACAGGCAAAGAGGAAGCCCCAGAGCAAGGCAAGGGGCAGGCCCAGCACCCCTGAGAGAATCCGGTAGCACCAGTACTTGCTGACGGTAAAGGTGGTGTTGCTGGCCTTCCACACTCCATCAAAGCTGTGGGTTCCCTCTGGCTCAGCGATCACATCTTCAAAGTCTACCTGGCAAGGTAGGAAGAGAGGTTGTGAGTTGGCTAAAGCTTTTTTTTTCGGTCAGGAGAGAGCGTGTGTGTATGTGTGTGAACAGATCTAGTGCAGTGTTTCCCAAAGTGTGGTGCGCGTACCCCCAGGGGTACGGGAAGAGTTTGGTGGGGATACGCGTTGCACCGGAGTTTGGTGGGGATCACGTGGGAATATCACAACAGGAGAAGATATCTTTAATGTTATGAATACCGTATATACTCGAGTATAGGCCGGCCCGAATATAAGCCGAGGCATCTAATTTTACCACAAAAAAACTGGAAAAGTTATTGACTCGAGNGCAAGCCACTCCCATCCGGTCACATGGGTGGCAAGCCAGTCCCACAAAGGAGGCCACACCACAGAGTAGGTTCCAACAATTTTTTAAACCTACCACTGATATGCATGGACTTCTTGATTTGCTTTAGAGTTTGATTCAGTAATTCAAAGATGTGTTCCTTAACTTTAGATGGAGTCACATATATCCTGTTTGATTAAAACATTCAGTAGTTTCAATTTCAAATTTTCTAAAATCAGAAATCACTATTTAAGAATGTAACCCTTTTGTGTGGTTTGGATGACATTCTGTGATACCAGCTGCTTAGGTGAGGAGGGAATACACTATATTTCAGGCAGACAGATGTAAATAACTTCATGCTAGAAACTTCTGTTTTTTAGAATAAGACCATTGAAGACAAACTTGATATGTCTTAGGGCTTTGTTGGTTACAAATATAACATCTGAAACTCTTAAAAGGTTCTAAGGAAATTTTTTAAATCATCAGCAACTTGCTTGGACAGCACCAAAATTCAGACGAGTATTCTGTGGTGGATTAAGGCTCACTGGTGCCCTAAGCACTGACAAATCTTGGTGCCCCTTTCCTTTGAACATACAGTACAAATCTTCATTGTGTTTTCTTTCTTTCTCAACTTTGTAGTGCTCCCTTTGGTCCTTCTGCCCAAACACTGCTTAGTCTGCTTAATGATTAATATACCACTGCTAGAATTGATTAAGAGCTATTCAGGTGGTAATAATAATGGAAAGGATTGAGTTGAATTCTTTCCTCCAAAATGTATCCTAGGAAACAGAGAATTAGAAGTCTCTCCTGTGTTTACTTTCAGATGATACTATGACACCATAAATCCCTAGTTCATCATTTTTCAGGAGACATCAGAGCTCAGCGGAACACCAGATGTTTGTGACATTGTCATACGTCAGCCACCATCACCCATGTCTTGTGAAGATTTCTTTGTCAAATCCAGGAGACTTGCTATAACTTACTTGAGTCAATTCTCACCAAGATGGAAGCAGTGACCCAGATTTCTATAGTCCTAAAAGTTATAGCCTGATATATGAGTGTCTCCTTTAAACCTTCAAGATGTTTGAGGTATCTTTTAGCAAATTGCTTCTCATATCTTCTTATCCTTTTTATTCTACACTTGTATTGTTTCAGGAAGTCTTCTTTCCTCTTTGCTAAAGAAATCTGTGACAAAAACCAATGATTGGATCCTGGGACTGCTCCATTTGTCTTTGCATTCTTAGTAGAAAATAAAGAGTACCACAGAGACAGATCTTCCATTCAAAGCTGTCTGCTGAGAGCACTGTGTATTGTACATATTATAAAAATAGGATTTATTGATGTTCAGAAAACTTCTCCATGGAATAAAAACTAAGAATAGAACCCTCTGAAATTGTAAATGGAATATATCAGGTCTGTAAACAATAACACTCTTCAGATGCATAAACTGAAGTATTACACAGAAATATCTTACAAATTAAAAAAATAACAATATTCGTGTTGTAGGTTCATTATTTTTCACTCTTTCTGTCATTACCTCCTTTCCTCTCTTCCTTTCCTTATGAAGGAAACCTGCGTATGAAATAGTCAAGAACCCTCTTTAGGAATAAATAAACTGTTACTAAAAGTTGCAATGTAGCCCCAAACTTAATCATCAGAAAGAAGCAGTAATACATATCTAGAAGCAGTAATAAAAGCCCATTTTAAAACTACAGAATTCAAGAGCTGTATCAAATTCTAGGCCAGGGGTTTCAAACCCGTGTTGTCACATTATCGTCAAGTGATGTATCATGACTTCCCTCCCTTCACTAAAATGGGGGTGGGGTGGCCAGCAAATGATGTATCTGATCCATGGGCCACAAGTTGACAGGCCTGTTCTAGGCCTTTAGTAATTCACACCTTGGCCTAAATGGGTAAAGACTCTTCCCATGCTGACCAGTCCATAAAACATCTTCATTGCCTTCAAGGAGCCATTGATAATGGAGGGGAAACTTAACTTGAGCATTCACTTGTGGAAAGCTCCAGGTCTTTGATTACCTGCAAATCCTCATAATAAGGGATTTGAGAGCAAGAACCAAGAGAGCTAAGGTGCCCTTATGAAGGTTCAAAACTGGCAAACACCAGACATGTAGTTTTGATGTGCTCATCCAGAGAAATTCTACTATAATTTTCCCTACCAAATCTCATTCCATTTAGCCAAAAAAAGGTTTACCCTGAAATTCCCTTCAGAGAGAAAAAAAAGATTATTTTTATTCTGGGTTGGGGTTAGAGTTCCTGCTTGTTTAGCTATCAGCCTGACCATCAGGTATGAATGAAGTCTTTTTCACTATACAATCATCTCTCAAGCAGCCCACAGCCTCTGCTGCTTCTCATGTTTCCATGAAATTTTGAATTGATCTACCATGAAGAAAGTCTTCCTTTGGAGGTTTTTTCCATATTGGAAAAGGTGGAAAGCCAGGAGGATTTTCAGTGGAAAGATATGTAACAAAACAAAACAAAAACAATTCCAAGAATAAGCATCCATACTTTCATGAAGAAAACTCAGAAACACAAAAAAGAATGCTTTGAAATAAATTTTCAGTCTCTGTGATACTATAAGTAGTTTCTACTATAGTAGAAACCCCAAACCTCTTTTGCAGCAGGAGTTAAGCCTAGCAGAGTCAGCATCAGCATTAGTTGTGAAAAAAGGCCACAGCGTCACTCATCTTTCTCTGCCATGGATAACATATGACAGCCATAAAGTATTTATTCCAACAGGATAATTTTATTCTCTTTGAACCTACTTCATGGTCAGAGTGAAACCTTTAATTTACAGATAAATTACAGGGAATAAATAAATAGATGCTAATGAAATCACATGAAATAAAGGCAAACATCCAGTTGTTATCTGTCTGCATTCCTCTACATTTCCAATTTCATGTTGTTTGATAAACAGGTGTTTGCATTCCCCAGTTCTAGCCTATCTCTGCTAATAAGGCTCAGTTTCAGAATGGAGAACATAAAATGCCATTTTTGTTATCTTTAATTAAAGAGAGGGAATGGAATGAAACATGACAGATTTCAGCACTCTTTATCAGTGGAAGAACAACAACAAAAAGGATGCATTATGTACTCTTTATAGCATCTAGGCCTGCTGGGCACCAATCAGGTTCCTATACTGTATTCTATATAGCAGTGATGGCTAACCTTTTCAGGAGTGAGTGCCCAAAGCGTGCCTGAACCCCCAAAATGCAATGTGTATATGGCCCCCACATGTGCCCGGCCCCCCATGCATGTGTGTGCCTCCCATGCACATTCCCCCCAAATGCTCATGCAACCCCCCCCAGCACATGTCCCACACCCTGCATGTATGCCAGAGACCCCACAACCAGCTGGCTGGTGGGAGGTGCGAATGCATGCACTAAACTAGGGCAATGGCTCATGTGCCCACAGAGAGGGCGCTGTGTACCACCTGTGGCACCTGTGCCATAAGAGTGCCATCACGGCTATATAGCATCTATGTAAGCAACTAAAGGCACCAATCTTGTTCTAATACCATTATCAAGGGATTTCTATTCCTGTGTTGGATTTTTCTGAGCATATTTACGGACTTCCTATTTTTGTTTGAGGAAAGGTCACTAACTTTCCTTTGTAGTCAGAGACAGGAGGGTTTCTACCCTTTCTCATCAGTGCTAGTTAGCAAAAGATACTAATGGGATGTGCCAAGAAGTAATTNTGTGAATGCCCCAACACTGGAAGTCTTTAAGATATTGGATAGCCATCTGTCTGAAACAGTATAGGGTTTCCTTCCTAGGCAGGGGTTTGGACTAGAACACCTCCAAGGTCCCTTCCAACTCTGCTATTGTATTGTATTATTCATTCTCTTCTTCAGGACTAAACTGAAGGATTGTACAAATTGTATTATCCACTGTTGCTCTACTTTCTGACACATGATGAGGATGTGGCTATAATGTGCAGACAGCTGTTGCACAAAACAAGAAATGATTTGTTGATGAAACTGGCCCTGATTTCAGCGTAGATCATTCAAGGTCCTGCAATGATGGGAAAGATCATTCCAGAGATGCATGTGCCAGAGTAACCAATTTAGTTTCCTTGTAGATAAGACATGTACCTACTGAGTAGTTATTAAATAAAGTCCTGTTATTCCCACACTTACTGTATACACAAAATAAATACTTAAAGAAACAGGGACTGATATGCCCACATCCAAATACCTGACAAACTGCGTGAAACATCTTTTTGAATGTTTATTCAAAGGTATTATTTTGGAAACTGGAGCAAGCACTCTAAAATATATGCTTTTAAAAAAAAGACCTGTGGCAGAGTTTGTACCTTTCACAATTATAAATGAAGGCTTTCCACTTCGAATTTTCTAGGATTTGGTTTTGCTTATTCTGCACAAAACTCAACTCATTGCAGACTAAAATGGAATCATAGAGTGCGACATCACATATTTGCCTACTGCAGTTCACCACAATAAAAAGCACAAGAACTCACTCGAGATTTAAACTTTAAATGCTAAATCTTTTCCGCCTGTTCTTCTAAGTCAATAGCTATTGCTGCCCGTGTGGTAGGCAGCTACACAGACATATTGTTAACATAATGATTCTCGTATCTGAAAACCACCGGAACTCGTCTTAACCAATTTCAAAGCTTCTGTCAAGTGAACAAATTCAGTAAGTAAATAAACGAATAAAATGTACATTAGACCCGCGAGAAATATAACAATTCTACGTGGACAAGTGTGTTTACTGAACAAGGAAATATTTAGAAGTTGGTTGAATTATTCCCAAATGCAATTATTAGAGTCCTCGTTGTCATACCTATAAATAAGATGACAGACGCTTACAATAAACAAAACTAGGAGAAACCACAACAGCCGCGAGGAATCCTGGGAAACCCATTCGGACAGAGCCGCTTTCCTTTCGCCTCAGGAGAGACACGTCTCCTCAGGTTTCCCGCCCTCATTAATATTAAAGAAAGTAATGGATCGCTCTTCCTATAAAAGGAAGAGTTGTAGGGGGAAGAGGCGGGAATATCACTATCCCCGCCTTCTTCCGCCTCCAGACCGAGTCTGTGTGACCGTCGCCCTCCGTGACGTCATCGGTCGGGGCCGCGGCCTTTTGCACAAGGGAGAGGGAAACTTGGGAGTAGGATGGCGGCGGAGCCGACGCGGCCCCCTCGGCCCCGGAAGGAGCCGCAGCCGCTGGTCATTCCCCGGAGTGCCGCAGAGGAGCAGCGCCTCAAGCTAGAGAGGCTAATGAGGAATCCGGTGAGGGGGCGGGGTATGTGTTGGTGGGCGTGGCTACCTACCCTTGGTTCTCCCCAGCTTTTTGGAGATTGACAAATGAGATCTGGCTGCTTTAATTCCCCCAGCGTGGGTCCTTGTTACAATCATCGAACTAAAGAGGGCTGAAGAGGGAGATTGGTCCCAGTTTTTTTCCTCAAGTTTGTGGTGGCATCCTCTCCTTCAGAAAACTTATATTATGTCTCTGAGCAGAAGAGTTAAAGTCTTCCCCTTCCTCAGCATGAAGATTAGTGTCACTGATCCTGCTCATTTCGCTACTGGTTGGTGGAATATAGGATTGGATCTATCAAGGCAGTCTGATATTTATACCTTCAATATAATGATAGTTTGGTTCCGCAACGTATAGTCAAGCATGGAATTTCTACATGGGTTAAAATCAGTCGTGATTTCTCTCCACTGTTGGAATATGTATGCAATTAAATAGCTCTAAATAATTACTTCCTTCTGAAGCATCAAAGTATTGCTTATTTTTCACTGCAGGATAAAACAGTTCCAATTCCTGAAAAGCTGAATGAATGGGCACCCCGGGCACCTCCAGAATTTGTCAGAGATGTTATGGGTAAGTTGTGGGGAGGGGTGTGTATGTTTAGGTAGTTTCTTGGGTTTTGTTCATTATTTCTAGAGAAAAGGAGAAAAAACAGGAGTTTATTTATGGTGTCAAAGAAATGTTTGAAACTTATTTAACAGGCAGCGTTTGGACTCATTTTGTACTTTGTTATTAGCCTTAACAAACTTAACAAAATGCACAGGTACAGTATAAATGGTACCTTGCTCAATAGTAGTAACACTGAGAGGGATCTTGGAATCCTAGTGGACAACAATTTAAATATGAGCCAGCCATGTGCTGCCAAAAAAGCCAACACAGTTCTAGGCTGCATAAACAGAGGGATAGAATNTATAAAGATGTAATATCATTGGATGATTTCAAGATAATGCAATAAAATTTTATAGTATAAATTTACTTTAAATTTAATATGCCTTATGTTGAAAGGATGTAATAATAGCTGGGCTCAATGGATGTTTAATAATTATAACAATTTGTATACATGTATATTAGATTGATGATACTAATAATGGGGGGGGGAAACATGCAATTGGAAACTATTAGAGAATGTTTGCTAAAATGATTGAATAACTTAGAATAGGAGGAAGCATAATAACAATGTATGCAAAGATACCTTGATTGTCAATATGTGAATTTTGATAAAACTCAAGTGAGGACTACGGAAAGGACACAGAAAGACTCTAACCAATTGACACAGTGTGTAATTGAAGAGGCTTTTATGTTATATGTGTTGTGTGTCTGTGTTTGTCTGAAAATAAAAAAAAATATTAAAAAAAAAGAAATAGCAAGTTGCAGCTACCTGGATTTCATTTAAATAGGTAAAAAAAGCCTCCAGATGATAAGCTCGTATAGCAATTTAGCGGTGGAGGTTGTAGATTTTCCACTTTTGGAGGTTCTTAAGTAGAATCCCTCATGGATTTTATAAATAATTTTCCTATATTTTGCAGTAAGTCAGACTAGTTGATCTTTATGGTTTCTTCCCAATCTACAATTTTCTCATTTTCTTCTTCACTGCACAAAAAAATACTCTTTACAGGAGCTTTACAGGAGCTTAAAGCTACTATCCTATTTTAGCTTATTTTTAAAGGCAGATTTAAAACCATTGATTCGTTTAGAGGTGGGAGAAACCTCAAATGCAATTTACGAGATTTCCTGCATGGATTGCCCCCAGCAACTATGTGGGACAGACTGAGAGGAAGCTAACCATCAGACTGCAAGAACACAAGTGAGCACTTAGACAAGGAGACTCAAACTCATTGATAGCTTCACATTACAATGAACAAGGACATGTTTTCAACTTCATAGCTACAATTGTTGGCTGAGAGAAACAAAAATAGTCAGAGAAATGATTGAAGCCTGTCAAACTGGTCCATCAGTCGAGGAGTGCTGATTTACCACCAGCTAATCCGATACTTAGGAGCTGAGGGTACAGCAGTAGAAGAGCCAGCCATCAGCACTCTAATTAATAACAGAAAGCTACCTACAACCAGGAATCATATAAATACAAAATAGAGAACAGCCCAGTACACATCTTCTGGAGAGAAAAGTTCCCCGACAATGGACTCTAATATGAGCCTTAAAGCTTGGAAGAATAAACCTTTGATCCCCTGACCGATTCAGATTGGATCCTACAACATTCTCATGGGACACGTATATTTACCTTCATTCACAAAAAATATTTTATTTGCTTTTTAACATATTTGTAACTTTGGGCTTTGCTTGTGCAGTTATAACAGACTATGTGAACATTGCCCGACCAGTGACTAAAATAATCCTTAAATAAACACACATTCATCTGACTCTGCTTCAGAGTCCAGATTTTATGTTCTGAAACAGAAGTACACTTCTTGGCTTTCAGTCCCAGTCTGAATTGCGGTTTGGCTTCTGTAAATCAAGAAACCAACTCATAGAGAAAAGGTCAAGTGAACAGGTCAAAAATGGAGCAACCAACGTCTTCCCCTGATAGTTAGTTACATTTCTGTTTGAGAAAGGACAACAAACGTCATCCACAAAACAACTATGATGATGTTATGTCAACAAACATGTCCTTCAAATAAAGCCTTGGCTCCCATTATGAGCAGTAACTATGATGTGTTTAAAGAGTCTCAGTTCAGGTACTCAACTACCTCAGCCTTCCCAAAGACAGATCTGGCTAAACACTCAGCTGTTTCTGAATCCCACAGTCAACCAAAGGGTCCCGGGGTAGGGAATGACGGATAGAGAATCCACAGTCATCGAGGAGCCACTAGGCTTGATCCGTGATGGTGAAGTGGTTAGAATGCAACACTACAGCAGTGTTTTTCAACCACTGTGCCGCGGCACACTAGTGTGCCGTGACATAGTGTAAGGTGTGCCGTGGGAAAAACACCCGCNGCCCTCGCTTCTTACTGTCCTTTTACGTCTTCAGCGCTTCTGCACATATGCACAGCACGTATGGCGCCTGCGCAATGCTCCGCTGAGCAGCTGGAGTATCGCAGAGGCTCGCAGAAGCGCCAAGACACATGTGTGCGCTGTGCCCGTGGACACCAGCAAGCCCATTCCAACCATACTGGTTGGAACAGAATCCGCAACTCTTCACTGGCCTCCAGCATGTAAAATAAAAACTTGTGGCACAGGTTAATGGACACATACCTTGTATATAGCAGGGATGTCCAGCTTGCGTCCTAAGACTACAATTAGGTCATGTAAGTAGCCCTTAATAGGCTCTTTCACCTCACGAATAATGTCTAAACCACCAAAAGAAACAAGCCTTAGGGATTTATTAGAATTACATGCAGGATCTATTTCTACACTGTCCTTCACTGATCTAAATTGACATTACTGTTTTAAGAACATACAACGCACTAGTATAATTTGCTTTGCTCATATAATAATGTTCATATTATGTTATTGATTTTATATTAGATGTTTCCAGAACTTTTAACTAGTGCTCTAGAGGTTCTGAAGTGTTAGCACAAGCAAATCTGGCTCCCTCTTTGGTGAAAGTGGCAATGCCTGTTGGAAGCACAGGTTGTCTTCTGCATACATGAATAATAAGATATTGGATAAACTGAGAAAGGTCTTCCTGTTTTCTATTATAGAAAACATTCGGAGTCAATAAAAGATACTGATGCGTGGCATCTTGTCTTATTGCATTCATTATTTACAACGAAAATTCGTGTTTCCTCTACTTTTTCCATTTTTCCAGTAGAAATGTTTCTAAAAATATTTTTTTTCTTCCAAGAACCTTTACTTTTACTTTTCCATCAGTAAAAAGAGAAAGACGATGGATAGGAACAGAATAAAGGTACAGAGAGAGAATTACAGAAAAGTAGACATTAATCTATGCCAGTTGTCAAGCATCCAGATTTTGATCATGTGACCATGGGGATTCTGCAACAGTCATAAGTGTGAAAAACAGTCATAAGTCACTATTTTCAGTGTGTGGTAACTTCAGTCATTAAAAAATTATTGTAAGTCAATGACTACCTGCACATGTGGGCACAAGCACCTGTAAAAGGAGGAGCAGGTAGAATATTAACCTCTATTCTGAAGTCTGACCAGCAACTTCCATACCAGATTGCCCCACCACCCCACAGATGGCAATGTTTTTCAACACAGCAAATATTAGAATGGCACAATTTGCCAGAGCAAACATGCAGCTGGACAACTCACTACGTTCAACTCATCACAGGACAATCCACTGCAGGACAATTTAATAATTCTATTGAATTATTTAAAATAAATAAAACATTATTTTATTTTTTCATTCATTCTATCCCCCTTTTGCATCCTTTCTTTAATTATTCCACATTTCTTTGATATCAGGGTAACACTTGTTCCACAGTGAGTGGCCCTATGGCGAATTGGCCGTGTTGAGTTGTCCCTCAGTGAGTTGGCCATGGTAAGTTGGCTGTGGCAAATAGTCATAGACCCAACGTTATTACTAGAAATCTACCATCTCTGAAACAGGTGGGAGATATTTCAGAAACACAGCAGAATCAAAAGCAATTCCTTTTGATTCCCCATACTCTTTGGTGACTATCTGTGGAACAGCAACACTGCCATACTCAATGTGTTTCTTTAAAAAAATTTTTTTTGGGAAAGTCAGCATAAAATATTAAATATTAGACAAAACATCAAATTTAATATTTCATATTTTATTCCTTTTTTCTAGAAAGCTAATAAAAATCACCAAATTGAAATGTAAAACATCATTCTTTGGAGACTACCGAAAGAGACATGCAACTTTCCATGGATACTCAAAGATTTGCAATTGGATTTGGATTTATTTTCCCAGTTGATGACCTCATAACCTTTGAAAACACTTCCTTACAACAAGAAAGCTTTTAGTGCCAGATAATATCCAATAAAGGTAGAGTTAATAATAGGCTGATGAAAAAATATTTCTTATGCTATAAGGCAAGCCAAGTTTTGAAAATTATCCAGTGTCTAGAATAGCACTATATATTTATAAAAGTATTTAAAATATTTTAATTTTCTACTTACATTTAGTTAAATACATATGTTTGTTACATATAGTTGTATTCAACAAAATATATAAGGTTTATTGTTAAATCCAGATGTGTTATTTTGCATATAGAAGGGCGAAAGAATTTTTCTTGCTTAATGGAGAAAAAAGAACAAAACTCCGAAGTATGTTTCTTTGTGGAAGCTGCCCATGTTATCTGTGGAACAACATCACTGACATACTCAATGTGTTTGTTTCTTTTAAAAAAAAACTTGGGAAAGTATCTCAGCATAAAATATTAAATATTATACAAAACATCAAAGTTAATATTTCATATTTTACATCTTTTTTCTAAAAAGCTAATAAAAATCACTGAATTGAAATTTAAAACATCATTCAACTTAGTAAAAAAAATGAAGTTATATTTTACCTTTGCATTCAGGAACAGACCCTCTCCAGATCCCAGTTTTATTATCTTCAGTTATACAATGCAGAAGATCACCTCCAGAAAGTGAAAACCCAAGATCACAGGTATAGGTCACATTTGAGTAAAGAGGAAAAGTTACATTCTTTCCTCCAGTATAAATTCCATTCTTTATTTCTGGAGGAGGAGGACAAGTGGGCCCTGAAACAAAATTGTGTAATTGGTAAAAAAAAAAACTGCCAAAACAAATGGTCAATTAATTTTTCTAGGAGAGGAAACTGGATTGTCTATGTCATCTGTCTGTCTGTGTCTGACTACATCCATCCATCCATCCATCTACCATCAATATCTTCACCTAAACAGTCACTATATGATAACACCAAGTCAGCTGGATATAGTTTTACAAAGGCTACTGGAGGTCAGGTCTGGCTAGATTATCGAGGAGGAAAATTGATCCTGTCAGGCCTGATGAATTAGCTAGGATCCTTCAAGCTGTTCGCTTGGTCACCTCTGTATTATTAGATCAATGCATCCTGGTTGGTCAAAGGACGTTTGGTTGGGTTCTGATAATAGTGAATTTCTCTCTGAAAAAGATGTGTTCCTGCCATCTCTTGGTTCACTCCTCACAAAGGGCCATTAGTAGATCTCACTATCCTTAATTATTTCCATTCAGTTTCCAACATTCCATTTTTAGGAAGGATTGTAGAGAGGGCAGCTGTGCTAAAGATTTAGAGGGCTCTGGAAAAAGCAAATTGTCTGGAGCCTTTCCAATGAGGATTCTGACCTGATTTGGAATGAGACAGCATTGATTACAATTGGATGATGTCTGGTGGGAGCAAGATGGGGGTGATGCATCCATCCTTGTTCTTCATCTCAGCAGCTTTGATACCATCAATCATGGTATCCTGGGGTGGCTCTAGGACTTGGGTGTGGGTGGCATAGTGTCGTGCTGATTCTCCTTTTATACAGACAATTATAGTTGGTGTTGATATGAGGGGAGGGGACATGAGAGTTTAGCTCTTTTGCCATCCTAGAGTTTGGGATGAGCTATAATAAGTATCTCCACCCTAGCTATCTTAGTGTTACTGTGGAGGTTTTCTCAATGCATGGAAGCTATGGGGGCGTGAATGAGACAATAGGCTTCTGCTCAGCCTGAGTAAAAGCAAATGGTTCTGGATTTTGGGGCTTCCTTGTTCCAGGGACTTTCAACTTTGGATGTTAGATGGGTGGCACTTCCACAAACACACTTAGTATGCAATCTGGAGGTCCTCCTGTACTTGCTGTTCTTGCTCAAGGTCTTTGCACAGCTGCATTGGCTTCCAGTATGCTTTCAGGGACAATTCAAGCCCTTCTCCAATTATTTCCACCCATCCTAGATCTGGCATTGGCTAAGGAGTGTTGGCTGATGGACGTAGGAAGATGGCATTCTCTGCTGTGGCTTCTGCCCTATGGAACATCATTTCATCTCAGTTTAGGTTAGCTCCAACCTTGCTGTCCTTGGGGATGTTATTTTTACCATCTCTGAATTAGATTTATGCTTTTCTTGGTTAAGCCATCTAGGAGGAAATCAATATGAGGGTCCAAATGAGGGTTAATTCATTATTGAGTGAAGACTTGTGCCTGTTTCTTCAAAAAATATATCACTGGACCCAGCAGTTTCCATCTTTGGAGAAGGCAGTGGAGATTGTGTATAGCAACTCTATAGGGTTATGAAATGAATGATCTTGATCTTTTCAGTTGAGTTTTAGATCTGAATACAATGCTAACATGATATTGATTGCATTTGAAAATGATCCTTCACAGGATCAGGGTTAAGGATAAAACAACTTCCCTGGTCCTGCTTGATCTTTCCATGGCATTTGCTACCATTATCTATGGCATACTTGTGGACTATCTTAAAATGTTGAGAAGGGGACACTATTACAATTGTTCTCCTTCCTCTGGAATTTGATCAAGTTGATATTAGTATGTAGGAAAAATCCAGTCCAAGGGCCCTGTTGTGCAGTACAAGACTCACCACTCTTCCCATTTCCCATACATAAAGTCAATGAATGAGTTCATCTCTCAGCATGGGAATATAGCACATGATACCCAACTTTTTATCTCAATTCCTGGCCCGACAATGCCATGGAATCCTATCCTGATTCTTGGAGGGCATGCAAAATGCCAAGGATGGAGAAGGAAAGGAAGGAAGGAAGGAAGGAAGGAAGGAAGGAAGGAAGGAAGGAAGGAAGGGGAGGGAGAGAGAGAGAATTTAATTCCAGAAGAAAGATTAAAGTAGAACAAACACAAAGGGAAAAAAAGTCATGGATACCCACATGACTGCTAGTTCCCTGTGTTAGCTTTAATCCAATTTCTCAGCATCTGAAACTAGCATGAGACACTGCTAAACTTAGAGATGCTCCAGTGGGATCCCAGCCTGTTCTAAGCATTTCATACCCATTCAGTCCCCCGCTGCAATCCACAAGCCTGGGCTCAGGCTATTCGAAAGAAGTAAAGAATCTTACTGAAACATATTGGAGGCTTTGGTTTCCATACGACTGTATTATTATCATATGCACGTGATAAGCACTGGATTGTAGGTGATCCAATTAATTGGTACCTCAAGAAAAGAAAAAGAACACAATACATTGTAATCACTTTCTCTTTTAAAAGATTGCAAAATAGATAGCCAAAAAATCACATTTTTTGATGTTTACTGCATTATTTAAAGCATAAATTATCAGGGTCGAATTACAACATTTTGGGCATATTATTTGAAGAAACATGTCTCTTGAGAAGTCCATATTTCTGGGAAATGAAAGATATCTCTCAATTACAGCAGCGATGGCTACACTATTGGAAGACATGAAGAATACGTAAGCAGAGAATATGTAAGCAGATAGACCCCTTCCTTCCTTCCTTCCTTCCTTCCTTCCTTCCTTCCTTCCNGGATGGGACAAAGGTGCCGCTCCCCTTCCCTGATTGGAGTGATCAGCTTCATGGATGTCACTTTGGCCCTTCCTGCAGCCCCTTCAACCTTCACTGGGCAGGGAAAGATCCTTCCAAGCTGACCGGGCAGGGGACCCCCCCCTCCCCCCCCACTGCTTGGGTCCTCCTTTCTGTCTTCTAGGGCCTAGAATTACTTTATATATAGTCGATATAGGCACAGAGTTAATTTTTTAAACATTTTTTAATGGTGGTGTGCCGCGTGATTTTTTTCATGAAAAAAGTGTGCCTTTGCACAAAAAAGGTTGAAAAACACTGCACTACAGGGTACTTCTGCTGACTGACTGCTGCCAGCAGTTCGGGTCTCATCCACTCAAGGTTGACTCAGCCTTCCCAGGTAGGTAAAATTATTGGGGCAATGTTAACTCTGTAAAACAAGTCTTAGAAAGGGCTGTAAAGCTGTATATAAGTCTAAGTCAGGGATCCCCAAACTTGGCAACTTTAAGACTTGTGGACTTCAACTCCCAGAATTCTCCAGCTAGCTAGGTGGAGAATTTTGGGATTGAAGTCCACAAGTCTTAAAGTTGCCAAGTTTGAAGACCTCTGGTCTAAGTACTATTGCTAGTGCTACTGATCCGACAGAGCAAACAGCGGCAAATGGGCGTGGCCTTCACAGCAGGCACTGACAGCAGAGAGCGACAGTAGAGAGTCCTTTGCTGGCGTCTTTCTTTTTTCTCCCCGCGACTCAAAAAGCTGAGCTCCCTTTCCGGTAAAGCAGCTGGAGCAGCAGCTCTGCCTGGCGACGGGGCCTTTCTCCTTCTTGGTCGCAAAGCAACAAAGAGATCGCGGCTGCCCAGAGCAAGGGACAAAGCGACTCCCGCGCCTTGTCGAAGAATAAGCTCCCTTCCATAAGCAATAACTAAGGAGCTCCCCCACCCCCACCCCCGCCCGCTCCGTTTAGAGCCCGAACTTTAGCGGGCTTTTTAAGAGGCGCTTCTTACTCACACAAAGCCCTGGACGAGAACAGCAGCAGGAGGAGCAAGGCCGCCGGAAGAGCCTCTTCGGAACAAGAAGCGAAAAGACCCATCGTTGATCGCAGAAGGAAACCGAAGAAAAGACTCCGGGAGCTTAGAGGCAAGGAAAGGGCGGCGCGTCCAAATTCCCCCGGATGCTGACAACCGCAACGCCGCCACTTTTCTGGTAAATGGGCGTGAGCTGCTTCGTCTTTATATAGCTCGACGGTAAAAACGTCATGAAAAAGAGGAAGGGCGTTTCTAAGGCGACGGCGCCTTGCTCCGCCGAACAAGGGTAACGCTGTTGAAAAAGCACGTGTGGCCTCGAACGGGAACTTGGAGTCAACGGAAGGGCGGCGATTTGAGGGCGCGCCGTAAAAGGAGTTTGAAGAAATTTGCGGTGGTTAACTCGGAAAGGAAAGGGAGAAGGAAACAAAAACAACCCCGTGGAGGTTGTAAAATGATGGATTCAGGTTACAAAGCTGGTATATATTTTTAAAACTTCCCCCGATTGTCGACAGCTGTTGTTAGGTTTCAGTTCTCATAAATGGGGATAGCATGACTACCCCCCCCCCCGTCTCTTAAACTCTATAAAGGTTCTGGAACTGAAGACCCAACAAGGCTGGAGAGATTTCAACTGGGAAAATATTGGTTGATGGTGCGTGCTTGCGGTTGTATTCTCATTAAATGCTTTTTAAAAAAAATCACGTTGTATAAAATGGAATAGGAATAGAACTGGATGGCACCTTGGAGGTCTTCTAGTCCAACCCTCCTGGTCAAGCAGGAGAACCTGTACCGTTTCAGATAAGTGACTGTCTAGTCCAAAGATCTTCAAACTTGGCAACTTTAAGACTTGTGGACTTCAACTCCCAGAATAGCTGGCTGGAGAATTCTGAGAGTTGGAAGTCCACAAGCCTTAAAATTGCCATGTTTGAAGACCTCTGGACTAGTCTCTTCTTAAAAACTCCCAATGATGGAGCACCCATGATTTCTGAAAGCAAGCTGTTCCACTGGCTAATTGTTCCTCACTGTTAGGAAGTTTCTCCTTAATTATATGTTATTGACTAGCTTGGTGTAGTGTTTAAAACACCAAGCCAGAAACCAGGACAACATGGGTTCTAGTTCTGCCTTAGACTCAAAGCCAACTGAGTGTCTTGGGCCCAATAACTCTCTCTCTCTCTCCCCCTTTCTCCCCTAGGAAGGAGGCAATAGCAAGCCACTTCTGAAATATTGCCAAGAAGACTGCAGGGACCAATCCAAGCAGTCCTGTCTCCTAGCAACTATCTGGAGAAAACCCTCATATTGGCAAGATTTCAGAAGTGGTTTGCCATTGCCAATTATTCATGTTAGACCATCAACAAAAGCGGAAGTAGGAAATACAAATTACTTTTGCATTTAGCCGTAAAGCAATTGCATCTTGTATGTTTAAGTTGCTTTCATTTGATTCCAAGAAACTTAGCTTTTCAACAAATACAAAGGAAACCAGTTTTGAATAAGCAAATATAGGATTGTGCAAAAAAGTAAACATGGTAGAAAATAAAGTGAACGGTTAAACTTTTTACCTGCACTTTTTATCATGTATCTTATTTTCTTCAGTTGACAAAAATTCTGCAAACATTTATATTAATAATTAGAAATATTTGAAGAAAATTGTTTAAGATCCTCATTACATATGAGGCACCATGCTGAGCCAAAATAAAAAGTTCACTGTGTTTTTCAAAATGACCAACCAGCTTTGTTTATTTACCTTATGTTTTATGTGATAACAAACTCTATTCTTTAATTTTATTCTGGGAGATGGAAAATACTTAAATAAGAGCATTTAAAAAATAGCAGATTTGCTCTTAAGATTGATAGAATGTTTATTTTTTTTGAAAGCAATAAAGTTAAACCAGTATTCAGTCATTGGCATTTTTCTAGGAACTGCTATGACACTTAGAAAAGTTGCTGTGTGGTAGTTAATCTTGATTTTTCACAAAAAAGAATGGCTAAAGCACTATGAAACAAGGTAAATACGACTGAGAAGTTGATGCCTGGCTTAGAAGGTATATAATTTATTTTGGAGAAGATTGCATTCCCCTAGTAAGAATAGAACTTAGTCAAGTTTATTGTGGATTTAACTCTTGTTACTGGATTCCTGTCATTGGGTAGAACAATTTTGGCTTGTACAGCAACTCCAGCCTTTTCTGATAGAAATAATTTTAGGTTAATCGCTTAAAGATGAAATTAGGGGATTTTCCTTGAAGGTAGTTCAAAAGCTGCAAATGGCTCAGAATTCTACATACATCCATTTCTGAAGTATCTGCACTAATTCATTTAGTCATTCAGTCATTTTAATAAACCACTGTTGATTTCTCTGGTCCTAAGCAACTTTGATCTAAAATTTGAATAACTTCTAGCAGCTCTTACATCCTGATAGGTGTACTGTAGGTTATTGATATTAATTGTAATGCAGAAGTGCACATTCTCAATTATGGTACTAACCACATGAAATCAACTCTCCATATCTGTTCAGTAAACACACAAACACACAATTGTGGAATGTTTCTACTATATATTAAAAGCTTAGTTGTTTGCCCAGACATTTTCTCTTATCGTTCATTAGCTGTTCTATAGTTTCTTAATAGTGTTAATTTAATTTATACCTTATTGTATTTGTTATTTAATGCTTTAATCTAGTTTTTACATGTTTAAAAAGTAAAATGATTTTTAAATGCACACAAGTAACTTAGCTATGATTTGAACAAATTTCAAAGCCTCCTTCCTCTACGATAGAAAGATGACAAAACTGTTAAATGCCCATTAGTTTTTCATTGAGTTCAATTTATAATGTTTATACCTATGTGCTGGGCAAGAACTGAGAAAGGCTGACTAAAATTTGGGAATTACAATTTATTTATAGTAAACATTTTGAATATCAAAGCTGATGAATGTATAAATCCTCTGGCATCCAGCTTAATTTGGAGAAGGCTATATTAACATTAACATTTTGTAATGGGAAGACAAAGGAGGAAATATGCACTCAATCTTTCCATTGAGTCATCTATTTTTGAATAAAACAATGCTTGATGATGTTGAAATAAATTTAGCTTATGAACAATCATTGACACTTGGACTTTCAGGAAGGCTGAAACCAAATGTGTGATTTCCTCTAGTGTGGTATAAAACAAGCACTAATTCTTATTCAATAGATCACTTTTTTTAAAAAAACCCTCGAAACCAATTTGTTATTTCTGAATAGGTGGAGTCGGTGGACATTGTATTGTTATAATAAAAAAACCTTGATTCCACACCCTTCTGTATCCTTATAAGATTACTTCTTGATAACAAGCATTTGTTAATGCAACAAGCATTTGCTGCTAGAATGAGGTAATGGCCATGAAAATCAATAGATAAACTGAATGTTCTGTTGGAATGGCAAACAAAATTTGTAAAGGATAATGATACAAATAAATAATTTCTAGAATTTTAAATGCAGTCCCCCACTGGATAGTATTGTAATAATACACTATCTAGGTATCATTTAATATATGCCTCCAGCAGTGGTGGGTTACAGGCAGTATGCTCCAGTATGGGCGTACCGGCGCCAGCCCAGAGCACCGGATACCGTTCCGGTACGGTGCTCCGGAGGGCCCACCCACCCGCCCTCGCTTCTTACTGTCCTTTTACGTCTTCAGCGCTTCTGCACATATGCACAGCACGTATGGCGCCTG